CACCACGAGATGGTATTGACTTCATGTTACAAATATCTGTGTGAATTAAGTCTAAAGGATTTGAATTCCTTTCAACTCACTTATAAGGATATTTAACATACTTAGATTCCACACATATTTGATATTTTGATTTGTCGTATTCAAACTTAGGTAATACTTCCAAGTTAATAATTTTTCGTAATATTTTATAATTGACATGACCCAAACATATATGCCATAAATTATTTGACTCAAGCAAGTAAGAAGAAACTAAAATTTTATTATTCTCAACGACCATTACATTCAGCTGGAAAAGGCCCTCAGTGAGGTAATATTTTCCAACAAATATTTCATTCTAATTTATTATAAACTTATCAGATATAAAGATATATTTAAATCTGTTCTTAACAAGAAGTCCAACAAAGACTAAGTTCTTTCTAATCTCGATAATATGAAGGACGTTGTTTAGAGTCACCACCTTGCTAGAAGTCATTTTCAGAAATATCTTCCCACATCCTTCAATTTTGACCGTTGCAGAATTTTCCATAGAAAGCGTCTCTTGGGGTCCAACGGAAGCATATGTAGCAAACGCTTCTCTAATGGCACAAACATGGCGAGTGGCTCCAGAATCAATCCACCGCTCCTTAGGATTTCCCACCAGGCTGCATTCAGAAAGCATAGCACACAAGTCATCAACATCTTCATGCTTTTCAACCATGTTTGTTTGATCCTTCTTCTTGTCTTTCTTCGGAGCACGGCAATCTGTAGATTTGTGTCTAGCTTTTCCACAGTTGTAGCAATTTACGTTGAACCGCTTCTTGCTTGGGTCTTGGTTTTCGGACCCGAAGCCTGCTTCCTCTTTCTCGTATTTTGAGGAGTATCCTCAACAATGTTTGCTCCAATTATTGTTGAGTTTCCACGACCTCTCTTTTCAGCAGCTTTATTGTCCTCTTCGATTCTAAATCGAACAATGAGATTTTCAAGCGACATCTCCTTGCATTTGTGTTTCAAGTAGTTTTTGAAGTCCTTTCACAAAGGAGGCAACTTCTTAATCATCACTGCAACTTGGAATACTTTATTGATGACAAGACCTTCAACGAAAATTCTGTTAGTAAACATAATAAAATTAATACTTTTAACATCAGTATTAATTCTACTTATACCTTCAGTGAGGAGATCGTGAATAATCACTTGCAATTCCTGGACTTCGGTAATAACAGACTTGCTATCTACCATTTTGTAGTCCAAAAATTTAGCGGCAACGAATTTCTTCAACCCGACATCTTCAGTTTTGTATTCCTTTCAAGCGCAATCTATAGTTCTTTTGACGTCTCCACACCACCGTAGACGTTATACAACTCGTCCTCCAGTCCGCTAAGAATGTAATTCTTGACAAAAAATTAGAATGCTTCCACGTCTCCACACTGGTGTAGCGTTACTTCAAACCCCAGTGTTTCAACGAACACAAAGATCAGTAGCGAACCACACTTATTGTTGCTTTCTTAGTAGTTAAAACAATGCAGAAGAAAGGAGAATAACTTAGAAATTCGTATGGAAAATTTGAGAGAATGGACTGCAATTTATAGCCCCATCCTGTTGAGTTCAAATGAAGAGTTGTAACTCTTCAGAAGTCAGTTACGTAAAACGGCCATAACGTAAATGGCCATTTACACAGTTTTCCGTTACAAAAAACGGGCAGTCACTGAAACGGATAATTTGGATTATTAATCTTCCGTTATAGACACGGATTACATTAATATTTACTATTAACAAATAAATTTGGTCCAAAAAATTAATCAATCAATCGACCGAAGCCGAGTCGAAGCGGAGCAAGCGACGATGACGGCGCGAGGCTTGCCTTCTTCTTAACTTTTTAAGAGTTATAAGAAGAGCAATTGTATATATACCCACAATAACCTTTTCTCTTCCAATATGGGGCAATGTCCCATTGTCAAGGAGGGAAATTTAAAATTTTTATTTTACCCTCATTTCTCATTCACCCTCTTTTAAGTCTATTTTAGCTTAAAACCTCAACATTATGATGGTTGTATATTTGTATAAATTTCTCATATTTATACGTTTTCTCTTATCGTAATAAAATTTGTATTTTATATTCCCTTTTTGTTTCTTTTATTAAACTATCTGTTCTAAAAAAAAATAAGGAATTAAATGGATTGAATAAAATAAAAAATTGCCTTTTTTGTCATTCTTTCTCAAGTTCTCAAGCACTACAGCAAATAAATTGAAGCAAAATTTTCTTTAAATTTGAAATTTATAATTATTTTTTTATGTCTTTATCCCATAATAGTGTTATTAAAATTCAAGTATATCAACTATTAAGCATGAATCAAATTACTCAATATGATTTTTTTAGGAAAAAAATTTTGTTTCAGTCGCCATTAATTTTTTTTGCTAATCACAAAACAAAAACAACAACAATAACAAAAACAACAATGCAAAAACAAATGATCCAATTCCTCTTGTAGGAGTATTTAGTTTCTACTGTTGCTTTTATTGTTTTGCAAAAAATAATAAGAAAATAGGATGCAAATAATTTAAAATAATAAAATAGGATGCAAATAATAAAATAAATAAAATAAAAAAACTATACCAAGGACGCAAAATGGCAAGAATTCAAGTATTTTGCTCAAATTAGCATTAAGGAAATACAAATATAGCCGTTTTGGCTTCTACTCTCTCCTCTTTTACTTTTCTTTTACCATGACTCTTTTTCTTTTTTTCTTTTCTTTTTTCACGTGGAATTTTCTCTTTTTCCTTTTATTTAATTAAAAACCAAAGAAGGTGGTAAAAAGCGAATAGAATATGAGAAAGAAGAACAAAAGGAGAAGGCTTTCTTTTTGTGATTCTCCCTGCAACGTCCAGCTTATCACGCTCGGCGACTCACTCTTTGTTTGGAACCTAAAGATCAAATATTATACTTCCTCCGTTTTAATATAGGTGAGTTAGTTTGATTAGGCATAAAGTTAAAAAAAAAAAAGATTTTTGAAATATATGGTCTAGAAAGTTTAAGGGGTAAAAATTTTGTAAGACCATGTCATTTATATGATTATAAAAGTTTCTCATTAAGGATAAACTAGGTAAAATGAAGAGGTTAAAGTTAAATTATTTTCAATTGTAGAAATATGTCATTCTTTTATGAACGGACTAATAAGAAAAATGTATTATCTTAATTAAAACAGAAGGAGTAATATTTTTCAAAAATCTTCTTTTTTTAGTCGTCAGATACCCATCCTAATTCAAATTTGTTATGTAGAATTCATTTTTAGGTTGTTTGGCCAAACTTCTAAAATTAACTATTTTGAGAAGTACTTTTTCTTAAAAGCGCTTTGCTCAAAAGTACTTTGGTGAGAAGCAATTTGTGTTTGACTAATTTATTTAAAAAACACGTATGAGTATCAATTAGTGTTGGCCAAGCTATTAAAAAAGTGATTGTAAGTGTATTTTCTCAAAAGTGTTTTTCAAAAAAGTGTTTCTGGAGAAAAATTACTTTTTTCTGTTTCTATTTCTGCTCAAAAATACTCTTTTTTTCTTCTAAAAACTTGGTCAAATACTTTAACTTTGAAAAAAAAATACTTTTAGCCTTGAAGAACTTGGTCAAACAACTCTTTAGAGAGGAAGCACTCCATGCCGAGTGTTCCATTTTGAGATTAATTGGACCTTCCCAATTTTTCCTCTAAATAACACAATTTTTCAAATAATTAAATATATTATTAAATCATAAAATACTTTAAATTAAATAATTATTATAAAAATCAAAACTTTTGGTTCAACTTGATAATTAATTTATACCAAATCAATTTCAGTTAAAAAATATATCAAATTACAAACACTATTATTTACAAAGCTCGAACTTGCATATCAATTTAAAAATAGAAAGAGCGAGGTGGCAAATATTTTCAAAAAATCAGATCTACTCCCTCAACATAAAAAGTAGAAATTTTTTAAAACTATTATTATTATATTATGAATAAATTAAAGTTCAAATAACCAACTAACTACACTATTATGATTCTCCGAAGTAAATTAACTTTTTAGAACCAGAAAAAAAGTACTACGAACTTTGTAGAAGGAAAAAAAAAAAAATCTCTCAATGGAATTTAATGCAGGCTCGGTGTATGACGAGAAATTTGACTATGTGAGTCACATAACCAACATTACTTACATGAGTCTTGTTTATTTTTTGATAAATGGACTCATGTTCCTACTTACTTATTTTAAAACATAAGCTTAAAAAAAGGCGATATTTAAGTCTACTCTTTTTCCTAATTAGAGGTTTAAATGATGGACAATAAAAGGAAAAAAAAAAAATCTCTTAGGATCAACGATTACTGGATTTTGCATGCCTAGATTGTCTTTACTTCATATTATTGAACTAATTTATGTCTACTCTAATTTGAGAAAAATCAGCACTGCAAGCTTAGAGGATAAACTAGAAGTTGGTGAATGACTCATTAAAATTTTTAAGATATAACTTTGAGTAAGTTTCTTGGTAAAATTATAATTTTTATTATTTAAACTGTGATCAACTAATGATTACTTTTTAATTTAATATTACCGGTTTATATTTCTAATTTTTTACTTTCTCTCACCTATCATATAAAATATTTATCAATACTCTCTTTGTTTGAATAGGTCATGATACGATGCTAAAATTTTACAGATATGGAGATTTCTTGTGCCTTTATTTGGTTCCTAAAATGAAATATTTTCAATAAAAAAGTTATTTTAATAATATAATGAAAGAGATCTTTTCTTATTTTCCTTTTCTTTTATTGTCTACTAGTTAAGCTTCTAATTAAAAAAGAGTAGAGACTTAAATATTGCCTTTTTTAAGCTTATATTTTAAAATAAATAAGTAAGAACATGAGTTTACTTGTCAAGAAATAAATTAGACTCACGTAAATAATATTGGTCATGTGACTTATATATCAAATTTCTCGGTGTATGACCCGTGCCTAGCGGCTCGGATGTCCCTCCTCCACTTTTAAAAAAATTATATATAATAAAGAAATCCCCTCTAACTTTACTTGTTTTTACTGAAAATGGCAGAGCACGCTGAGCATTCAGAGTACAAAGAAGAAGAGTCGTTGATCGAGAAAATAGAAGACAAGATTCACTTCGACCATTCCTCGTTCTCGTCGTCGGATTCCGACACCGAGAAGAAACCTGCGTCTGCGCCGGAGGCAGCGTCTCCGTCGTCAGTAAAGGCCACGATTTGGCGGCTGTTTGGACGAGAAAAGCCGGTACACCAAGTGTTTGGTGGAGGCAAACGTACAGTCTTATACTCTACTTTGTTTTCTACTTTACGTATTTATATTATTTTGTTCAATAATTCAAACTTAATTTGGTTAAGTGATTGCTTATTGAGTAATGGATTAGGGTTAGGGTTTGGTGTTTTGAAGTATCTTAAGAGATCTGTCCCAGGAGTTTGGTTCGGTAGTACATTACAGATGTGTGGTAGGCTTACATTACTGAGTTCTAGTGAATCAAGTCTAGTACTCTCTCCATTCAATTTTATGTGATGGTGTTTGACTGGTTACAAATTTCAAGAAAGAAAGTCTTTTGAAGCTTGTGATTCTGTGGCTATAAACCTTAAAGGCAAAATTGCAAATTTAAAGTTAGAATTGTTTTTAAGTATAGAAACGTGCCACTATTTTTTGAACGGACTAAAAAGAAAAATGTGTCGAAATAAAGAGTCTTTAAGTGGAGAACGATACGGGGATAGTCCTATTATATATGGTGTTTGGAAGTTGGAAACAGTAATACCTCAGTTACAAAAGAAATATCATAAAGAGTAAGAATGTTGAGATCAAATATGCTCTTAGGTGTATATATCATGCTTGTATTCATGTTCATCATCTTATCTTAGCTAGGGCCGGACACTGGCTTTAAGATATGGGTTCGGCGGAACCCAGTAGATTTGGCCCAAACCCAGTAGCTTTAAGATATGTGTTAAGAAATTTACTAAATATGTAAAAGAAAATTAAATTTAGAATCCAGCTACTAGCACTCAAGGTCAATGTCCTACAATTCAAAACCAATAAAGTTCAAATCCCGTGTCATCTCTGATCTTAGCTGTCATACTGGGTGCTTTTCAAGTGTTTTAGGGCTCGGATGAAGCTAATGTTTGTATTTTTCGCATCTGCTTGTAAGAGTGAATTGATAGATAATGTGGCTTTAGGCACAAGCTGATGTTTGGTTGCTTTATTGGGTTGTTAGTAAAGTGAGGCATCTAGTTACCTTGGTTATGTGAAGAGTTTGGTATGAGTTAGGTTTTTGAGAAGAGGTACATCAGTTTGATTATGTCTGCTTTTATGCAGCTGCTGATGTATTCTTGTGGAGAAACAAGAAGATATCTGCTAGTGTACTTGGTGGAGCCACTGCAATATGGGTTCTTTTTGAATTGCTCGAGTACCACCTGCTTGGTCTAGTCTGTCACCTTTTGATCTTCACCCTTGCTATCTTATTCTTGTGGTCTAATGCCACAACCTTTATTAACAAGTGAGCTTCTAAATTTTTGCATTTCCCATAAGGCAATTTGCTTAACCATTTGTTCAAAACATTTTCCTGCCGTTTCATGACAGGAAACGTCCACATATCCCAGAATTTCACCTTCTAGAGGAGCCGATCCTTGAGATTGCTTCTGCTCTGAGGATTGAAATTAACCATATTCTCCACGTGTTGCGAGAAATTGCATCTGGGAGAGATCTTAAAAAGTTCCTTGCTGTAAATTGCTCAGTTACTGTACTTTCCCTGTATAAAGTTTATCTTGAGACTCTATTGTCCCTCCTTTGCCATCAGCGTTGCTGAAAAAGAGAAAGGCAGCGATTTTCTTGTTCATCCATGGCAGCGATTTTCTTGTTCATCCATATTAGATTTCATGTCATGTGTGTACTTAAACTCCTTGCTCCTTTGACTTATACTGGCTAAGTAATGAGTAGGCTTTCCTCTTGTAGCTAATGAAAGCAATTACTGTAGAAAAACTCGAATTGGATGCTTATTAGCTTATATGTCCTGCCAATGCTAAAGTTGTCTTTTGCCTTCTCAAATATCTGTGCCTATTTGAATAGGCTGAAGTATCCTCTTTGCTGAAATTTATCCTTCTTTTCCGATTATTATAGGTCCTTGGAATCACTAAGCATTTTTAGTTTTGTTTTTTTAAGTAGGTGCAGAAGAGTACACCTGTGACTGAGTAATGCCACTATGGTCCTCTATTTTTGTTAATTCATTCAGTGGAATCATCTTTGTTTTCATAAATTACTCATATTATCAGGTCATTGCCGGTTTATGGGTCCTGTCCATGCTTGGCAATTGCTGCAACTTTTTGACACTGTTCTACATATGTAAGTGCAAATTTTCCAGGTGGCTATTTGGGCCTTGTAGTATTTGCTATCTGCTCTAACGGATACTTATTGTATCTTCCTCCAATGCACCAGCATTTGTACTCCTCCATACAGTTCCGGTTCTTTACGAGAAGTACGAAGATAAAGTGGATCCATTAGCTGAGAAAGCCGTGCAGGAGATCAAGAAACAATATGCTGTCTTTGATGACAGGGTTTTGAGTAAAATTCCCAAAGGGCCATTAAAAGATAAAAAGAAAGCGTAAATGTGGCGAGCTACTAGTCTGGTAGCGATATTCCAGTTATCACAAGTTTTCAGAATTTACTGTAATATTTCTTGTGCTTACATAGGCCTTTAGGCATCTTACTTGTCTGCTTTTGTAACTTTATTGCCTTTTGGGGTCTGTACTTTGCAATCTTGATAGCCGTCAGAATTAGTTTATGGGTTTTGTGTGCTTGCATCTTTAGCTGCCGTTATTCAAACATGTTAAGGTACGTGTTTTGTTGAATTACATTCTCCCTTTGCCTTTGTAGTTGGTTCTATTACTCCAAACTTAGTGGTGGCAAAATGGATTAAAAAAAAATAATTATTGTCCATATTATCCACTAAAAAATAAGTTGGATAATGAACTTTTTAAAAACGGGACAAATATGGATAAGTACCGTATTATCCACTTAGAAAATGAATAACTAATAGGTTTAACTTTTATATTCAAACAGTAACTTTTATGGATAACTAATGGATACCTTTTATAGTCAAATTGGGGGTCTCAAGTTTTAGAAACTAGGTATTCTTTCAAAAATAATCATATTCAAAAAATTATGGATAATATGGTTACCCATATTATTCACCGGTTAATCTATTTTTTTTTTATCATTATTAAATATGGATCAGATCAAATAATTTATCCGTTTTGCATTATCCATTTTTGATCGGACTAATTTATGTGGCTATCCAATTGTAAACTCTTCATTTTACCCGTAATGAAAAGTTTTTATAGCCACACAAATCCCCTTGTTTACCCGTAAAACGGTACAGTTGAATTTATACATGGTTTCTAAACAAGTGAATTAATTTGATCTTGAAATAATAAGATAAATGAAGAAATATGCAATGCTTAGCCTTGAGATGGAGACGAAATAGCAGAAACACAGTGGTTCCGGGTACAAAAATAATGAAATAGAAAAGCAAGAGGATACAATTGTATTAAGCTTTGAATAGAGTATAGTATAAGTTTGTCAGAAAATTTATGTCCTTTACAACGTAGCTAAGCTCACTATTTATAGCTACGTCTAGGGAAGGAGGTCCTAGGATCGTACCCCTCTTTAATGTCAATTATGAGGGCCATTGCTGAAGATGTAACGGTAAACATAAATGCCAAATTCCTTGTAAGGGCAATCGTACTTAATGCCATGGAATATTCCCTATTAAATGCTACCGGGCGAGAAGTTTTTGTTACATCCTTATGAGCGTTATTCTTTCCGGTGACAGACGGAATAGTTGCCTTCGGTCTTGGACCCCCCTTCCCCCGTCTTAGGTTCCACGTGTTCCTTTTTTCGACGGCTATGTGGCATAGCATATTTTACCCTATATAGATAGTTCCCCTGCTTTCCGGTGACATAACTTTGTATTACCGGGAAGTTGGTAGAAACACTCTTTTGGCTGAAATTACTATAATTCCCTTTAAAGGCTTCTGACGGTTGATTAGACCCATGCCTCTTCGCATTTAATGCCCCGAACACGCGTCATCCCACGATTCAGCATAGCTTTTGCTGATTATCGAGGTAATCATGGCCATGAATTTAGCCGCCAAAACTTTTGCTTATACGCATCAACTTTTTCCCTTATGCTCCATAATTGAACAAGAGCAAGGCCAAGGACTGCTCCTCCAACAGTGGAATCCATCATCCCTAGAAGTCTTGTTACCACAAAAAACCTTGAAGAGAAATTTCTTACTGCTAACCCTCGTACATGGGTTGTTAGTAGGTATCCTTCTTCCATTCGTCCTTCTAGCATCCCTGCTGTGAAGGAAGATTGTCGCTGTCATGATTTGGATATTGTTTCTTCTGATCTATTAGAGCGAGTGACTCTACCCAAGAAGGGTTTTACATATTTTTACATGTATTCCTTTACTTTGGGTGCGTTCTCTTTGAATGGGGAGCTTGACTCCGTTATTGCGGAGTTTTGCCTCCGCTACAGGTATGTATGGCACAAGTAAGTCCTTCTGTGTAGAGGACGGTTGCTTATCTTTGGCGTCTGTGCCAGGAAACGGGAGAGGAGCTATCTTTAGCTCATGTGATGAATCTCTATTCTCCCAAGATCTTCTGTGGGGGAATGATAAACCTTTGCAAGCGTGGCCACCATGCTCTGTTATCTAGCATGGATGACGACAATGACCGTGGGTGGATGGAGCGGCTCGATGCAGTTTCCACCAATGATATCATTCCGACAACGACTTCATCCTTTCCGACCGCTTGGAGCACTTGTAAGCTCTTTGTTTAATATTTCTTTTTACTAAATATTCTTCTATACCCGCATTGATCCTCGATCCTTCGCCTATTTTAGCAACTCGATGGATCCCACCGGTGGTTGAAGGCTTGGACCGGTGGGTCCAGAAGATCTTGGATGTTACGACGCTTGAAACTCGCTTGTGGAAAGAATTGGCCCTTAAATACGGGTGAAAGGCCAAAAATCATGGTAGTTCAAATTCTCGTTGTTTTAATTTTTCATGTGAACTTGATTGATCCCTTCTACCTTGTCTATGAAATCAAGTCTACCCACGGGCTCTGTTGCTGTCGCCGAGGAGGACGTCTTTGCTGATCCTGCTAATACGGTGAGGCTACTTCAGGAAGCGCTTACTCGAACAGGTGTCTCCAGGCTTACTTCGGGTACAAGTGTTTTACTATAGAGTCCCCGGCTAGGGAACATGCAGCCAAAAAGAAGGCGTTCTTCCGTGGTCGGGGAAAAGTAAGAGGGCGAAGACTATTGCCCCCGAGTCGTCTCCGGAAGTTGTGATCACTAGCCCTCTTCCCGGGCCGGTCATAGGCACCATGATGATCGACGATGATGGAGAAGCTAGTGATGATAGAGTGTAACACTCCTTAAATTTATAAAAGNTATATATATATATATGCACACTTAAATAATTGGATATACAATTAGGAAAATATTAATAATTCTAATATTATTAATGATTAACAGTGGGTATCACTACTTATTAGTTAAGTTAAAAAAAAAGGAAAAAGGGGCCTAAAGCCCATAAAAGGGCTGTTGGAAAACAAAGGCTTCAAGCTTTATATGTTTCTACGGCAATTCACGAAAAGGCAGAAGCCTTAGACGAGAAACAAAACATTGTTTTGTTACGCACAAATCAAAATAAAATTCTAGGGTTCTTTACCAATCACTAATTTTTGAATTCAAGTATGTAAATTTTTCTATTATCAATTATCCTACAGTGGTAATAGGTAAGAATTGAATAGTTAATTCCCTTCTTCCTCTATATCAACAATAAATTACATGTTTAGGTGTGAAACTTTAAAATTAATTAAAATGCACTGGTTGTTGTAGAATCAATTATTTGACGGGTATAATTGGACTGGAGTCTATGTATTGGCTCGAGAAGTTTTGAGGAGTTGATATAACCCTTTTACTAAAGTGGTTTAACTCACAAAAGCATGCATACAAGATGTTTGATGAATTGCTTAAAAAAGTTATATTTACTTAATTGGAGTGAGTGAGTACCTTAACTTAGGATTGTTCTAGCAAAAGTTTAGATGATTTATTATGATATATGTGCATAAATTTTCAGATCTTTGTGTGATTCTTATATGCTATTTTCATGTTGAAAATTTATGAAGAAGCAAGAATCTTAGAAATACTTTTACATGTTTATTTCATTCTTATGTCATGCTTCACATTTACGGATACCAGCATGAGCATGTACATGAGGTTCTATAAAGAAAAGATTTAGACTTGAAAAGTCACAAGCAGAAGTTGTAGAAAGAAAAGCTTTTTGGGAGTATCCTTTATTCTTAGAAGGGATCATCGTCCAGGCCGAGGCGTTGACTTCTTGAAACTACTTGTGCCAAAGTAGGGAGCACACGAGCCGAGGGTCTCGTTGCTGAGCATTTACATAGCCATGCTAAGGTATGATACATGAGCACTGAGAACCATGAAGCGAGTGGCACCTCGTGGATTAGGCCTAGTCGATCAAGTTGGGATCGAACCTGTGCCGATCACACGGTGACTGAGATAGAATTAAGTCAGGATAGTTGGAATTCCCAAAATATAAAGTGAAGTATTTTTTTTCTAAGAAAGAAAAATAAAAGAATTTCTTTTAGAATATTCATAAACTGCGATTATGCAATTATTTTAGATTATTCTTATAAGCTTTATGTTTTACATGCATTTAGAACCTTTGCCCGTAATGTATATGTTATTACAGTTTTGCCCCCTGTTGTTGAGATTCACTGAGTACAATGGATGATACTGACGTTCTCTTTTGGGAACCTACGTTGGTCTGCGGTACAACGTAGAAACCGGTTTTGCAGGCGAGCAGGCTACGGGTTAGGACTTCCTTCTATTCCAGTGCTATTGGTGAGCTCCGCTTTTGTTCGCGGAGTATTCCTTAAAGTCATCTTTATTTAATTATTTCTTTGTTTACTTAGAGAACTGGCCAGAAAATCTCATGTCCTGAGCAGTGCGTCAGTTTATCAGTAGAGGCTTCACAGACATAGTCATTGGGTTAAGATTCAGATGTTTTTGAGAATAACTTAGCAGTAATTCAGTAGTTACTACGAATAAAGTTTTGGAGTTGATTTATTTAAACATTTAAATTAATCAAAATTATTTGGTTAGAGTATTGCCTTGTTGCATATAAAGTTTGGAGTTATAATAGATTTAATAAGCAGAGATGGTTTTCTCAGTCATGTTTAGTGATCGAGTGCCGGTCCCGGCTTGTTCAGAAAATGGGTCGTGACAAACTTGGTATCAGAGCCTCAGGTTTATGGTGTCCTAGGGGTCTATGAAGCCGTATTGGTAGAGTCTTGTTTATGGGTATGAAACGTACCATACTTATAAACATGAGGCTACAAGCATTTAGGAAAAGTCTCATTTTTTTCATACTTTAGATCGTGTAATAGATCCGACCTCTAAGAAACTATCTAATGTATTTGTTTCTTTAAAACTCGCAGAAATGGCTCGTACTCGCAACTCTGACATTGACACTCAGGATGCTGCTCAACAAACTATTGCTACTATTATGGCTCAAGGCAGAAGTAAAAAGGCTTCAACTCAGAAAAGGAAGGGTAAATCCACAAAGGGGGTTCAAGTACCCTGGGTTGAACATAAAGAAGGGGTGGAGCATAATGATCTAGTACCTCAGGATCTAGTACCGCCTCCAACAACAGCTCCGGCTCAGGCAACTATATCTCCCGAGGTGGGTCAGATTTTTAATGTTGTCAACAGTGCTATGGAGATGTTTAAAGCCTTTATGGCAAACCAGAATAA